AGTGACGGGTTCAAGCCGATGATCCCAAATCAGGGAATTATAAAGATGAGCACTGATGCAAATGATCTTCTCATACAATCCTGGCAGAAATAAACAGACTGATGTTTAGGGTTTAAGAGGGTCTGATGGCTCCCCTTCACTACAGACACATAATGACAGATTACACGGCCTCACCATTGGTGGAAATTCTTCATGATTGCAGTGTATACCTTTGACTAACATGTAAATGCCGTGGTATATGAATCATACGGCAATCACAGACAGCAATTTCTTCAATCATAGTCAAGCTAGAGTTAGTAGCTACTCAGCACATGCTCAGTAGAGTCTGCCTCACTTTTGAGAAAAAAGATAAGTCAATAATTTGGATTTTTTTTTTTTTCTTTTTTGCTTCAGCTGTATGTTTTGATGCCTTTGAATTTAAACTGTTTTTTATTTCTAGGTTGTTGGTTAAAAATGGTTGGTTAAAAATGCTGAACGATAGATGCATTTGATCATGGCTGTGCTACTTGTGAAATACAAAACTCTTATGACTGAACTGAAAGATTGAATCTTTAAAATACATAATGGACATTTTTTCATCAAAACATTTCATCAGGTGGTTAATATAATACACCACTCTCAGAAAAAAAGGCACAAAAGTTTTGAAAGGTACACCATTGTACCTTATTTACCACTATAGTGTGCATTTTAGTATCTAAAGTGTACATATTATTACCTAGATGGTACATATTAGTTCTTTTTTGAAAGGGTACCGCCGCAGTGACAGCTTTTGTACCTTTTTTCTGAAAGTGTAAAAACTGTTTAACTCATTTCACATAATTATTGTGTGTACATCCCACTTCATCTAAAAGATGTAGTACTGAAAATACACATATACAGTTATGATTATATAATGGGATTTTTCTGTACTTATATTTGAGAAACAGTGGTTTAATAGGCTGTTTTATTTCTCCATAACAGGGACATTATTGTTCAAAAGTTTGGTCGGTAAGATTTTTTGAGTCTCTTCTGCTCACCAAGGCTGCATTTATTTAATCAAAAATACAGTAAAAACAGTAATATTGTGAAATATTATTACAATTTAAAATAACTGGTTTCTATGTAAATATATTGTAAAATGTAATTTATTCATGTGATCAAAGCTGTATTTTCAGCATCATTACTCCAGTCTTCAGTGTCACATGATCCTTCAGAAATCATTCTGATATGATGATTTGCTGCTCAAGAAACATTTCTGATTATTATCAATGTTGAAAACAGTTGTGCTGCCGAATATTTTGGTGAAAACCGTGATATATCTTTGATGAATAGGATGTTTAAAAGAACAGCGTTTATTTGAAATGGAAATCTTTGTAATGTTGATTTGTGTGGCCAGCTGGAATTAAGTAAAAACTTTCAGGCCATTCAGCTCCTCAAAGACACATGTAAGTACAAACGAGTACACAACAGAAATATCCATATAAACACAAATCCCAAACTACCTCAACATTCACCTGCCGCTGACGTGGAGACTGGCAGAGCACACGGCTCAAAATAAACAGAGCAATGTAATAAAGAAAGGTTAACTTGATAAACAAAGCAGGTGTGAGAAGAGACGGACGGATGAATGGAAACATCCTGCGTCCCATCATGAACTCCTCAGGTTGGGCTTGAAATCTCTGTATTTTTGCCTTTATTCCAGGATGATGAGACAAAGTAATCTGCAGAGCAGCTCAGGATCAGGGTGAATGAAGCGCCTGTGAAAAACAACTGTAAGACACATGTGTGACATTCCCATGGAGAAAGTCGAGCAGCGCTTTCTTTATTCCTCACATTGCTTATCAGTCATGCAGCTTGTTAAGGAGATCTGTGTGTGTGTGTGTGTTATTGTGTTTTGGTTTTCATCCGGCAGATAAAAGAACAGTCAAAAAACACTAAAGGACGGACACTGATTTACATATTACACTCATTCATGTAAACCCTTGAATATCATAGGGACTTTTAAAATGGCAATATTTAGAAAACCTTAGCAACACCCTAGCAACCACATAGAAATGTGCTACAAATCATTTAGAACACCCTAACAACACCCTAGCAACTACCAGAACACCTTAGCAATGCTCTAGCAACTACCCAAAACACCCTAGCAACCACATAGAAAAGTGCTACAAATCACTTTGAGCACCTTAGCCCAACACCCTAGAATCTACCCAGAATTTCTCAACACCTAGTAATATCCTAGCAACTCTCCAGAACACCCTAGTAACCACATAGCAACGTCCTAGCAACTACCCACAACACCTTAGCAATAACATAGCCTAGCAACTACCCTGAAAACCTTAGCAATGCCCTAGCAACTACCCAGAACACCCTAGCAACCACATAGAAAAGTGCTACAAATCACTTTGAGCACCTTAGCCCAACACCCTAGAATCTACACAGAATTTCCTAACACCTAGCAATATCCTAGCAACTCCCCAGAACATCCTAGTAACCACATAGCAACGTCCTAGCAACTACCCACAACACCTTAGCAATAACATAGCCTAGCAACTACCCTGAAAACCTTAGCAATGCCCTAGCAACTACCCAGAACACCCTAGCAACCACATAGAAAAGTGCTACAAATCACTTAGAACACCTTAGTCCAACACCCTAGAAACTACCCAAAATTTCCCAACACCTATAAAATATCCTAGCAACTCCCCAGTACACCCTAGTAAGCACATAGCAACGTCCTGGCAACTACCCACAACACCTTAGCAATAACATAGTCTAGCAACTACCCTGAAAACCTTAGCAATGCCCTGACAACTACCCAGAACACCCTAGCAACCACATAGAAAAGTGCTACAAATGAAAACCTTAGCAATGCCCTAGCAACTCCCCAGAACACCCTAGTAACCACATAGCAACATCCTAGCAACTACCCACAACACCTTAGCAATGCCCTAACAATATCCGCAACACCCTAACAACTACCTGGAACATCCCAGCAACCACTCAGTACCTTAGCAACCATGCACACCTCACATTGTGGCCACATGTGATTCACAAACTAGTCGTTTTCTACATTGACAATTTGTCAGCAAACGCAGCGAACTCTCAAAATAACAGCACAGGTAAGTCTGGATCAACTAAACCTGAGTGTGTGTGTGACGCTTCTGTGTGTTTGTCTGAAATGATCAAAACTTTAGTTACAGTGAGTTGCCGTCTCTCACTGTGTTCTTCTCCTCAGCTCTTTTTTCTCCTATCACTTCTCCCATTTTCTCTTCCTCCTTTCATCACACCTCTTTTTTTCTGAGCAACAGAGCCACGATAACTCTGTCTCTCGGTTTGTCTTGTTCTTTTATCTTGAGGGTGGATCACAGACGTCTGTGGTGTTTTAATGACATCCACTGGGATGACTGACTCGCAGCTGGCACTAATGGGCACGTTCACTCCTGAAATGCAGTGTATGCTGGGGGACAAAACCTCTGTGAGGACAGACAAGTTGGGTGGTAAGACTTTTCTTAGTTGAGATTTACTCCCTCTCATGTCCTCAGATGACTTTCTTTCTTCCAGTTTGATGTAGAAAGCACAGATTTGACACCAGTTGAGGCTGTAACAAGCAGATACGGACGTGACTATGGCCGCGTACACACTGCAGCTAAATTCAGTTGTCAGTTCACCTTTTAGTGCTCAATTCTGTTCTGTACACACACAGTTCAGTGATTTAAGGGAGTGAAAAGACTTGGATATTTAATTGCATCCTGGGTTCTGTTCCAGTCCACACAGGACTAATACAGATGATCTTCTTCTACGGCTCCCCCTAGAGTTTAAACACAGCACACCCCATCAAGACCTGAATAATTCATCCACATTCTGCCAGAGATCAAATTTGTTCTGGTCAGTGCAAAACAATGTGCATGAATGATGAATTAGCCATATTTGGTAGATTTCTCTGAGGAAAAGATAAGAAATAAAGCTTATGGTTTATTCATGTCTGCAGAGTTATTTCAGGAACATTTCTACCTTCTGAACCTTCTTTAAAAAATGAATATGCTTGTGTTGAAAAGGGAATATCAGACTCTCATAAATGCTCTGGTCAAGCTCAGATTCTTAAACTTGATTAATTATGACTTGATTATTTAAACAGCAGCAAGAAAATGAACAGAATGGAAATATGTAGATAAAGTTAGCATTGTTCAAAGAGGACGTCATTTTCGTTTTGCTATTTTTTTAACAATCTTTTGAAATGTTGATATTATCATACTGATTTCTGTAATTTAATCAGTGTTTTCAAACTTTTGATGCTAAAATATAAAGGCAGTTGTATATCTTTATGTGTGAAATCCACAATTATACTGTGTAAGGAAAATTTTAAATGTGTTGAAATGTCTTAAAATATTAATTTAAGAGAACTAAATCAAAGAATAGTTTCCGAAATTGAATAATTGGCTTTTACAGTGTCATTATACTAAAACAAACTGTTAAAATATTATCTGGAAAATATTTACTTTTAATGAAGTTGACAGTGTGTGAGATTGGCACGTTATAATTCAGTTGGCAATTATAATTAAAATAAAAAAAATATATGAAATAACTGGAATTAACGTCTTGATTTCTAACCAGTCTTTAGGAAGCCAAACAAAATATTAAATTTAGTGAATGTGAGAGTAAAAAAAAACAATTAATAACCAAATCTGGTGTACACTAACTTTGGCAGCTCTAAAATTACATTTTGTAAATATAAAATGATTATAAAACAATGTTGTTTTCTCACCAAAAGTGATGTCACTTCCTGGATGATGATGTCAATAAAGAACTGCCTTTATTGCAAAGAATGAAATATTACATAAGACTAATGAACAGTGCTGTTGAAGACATCACCAATTCAAAATAATATTGCTCAAATATTCCAACACTAGAAAGGGGAAAAAAGAAAACAACTGCAATACCTTTTTTAATAAATTATCAGATTTTCATGTTACAGTTGTACAGTTCAGCACCTGGTGAACAATATTTGGATGATGTGTCTTGATCATGCCACTTGCCTTTATATCATTACCATCCAATGCATTTAGGTGTTCCTAACGGCAAATTGTGTGGTCACTGCATATGACAGTGTAATAATAAATAAAGTCTAAAACAACAAGTTATGGCAATATATTGGGTTGTAATAACCAGTAGCTTGTGTTTTGTAAGACGAAGCCTCATCCAGTGGAGAGCAGCGGCGCTGCAGGATGGGAGAACGAGAGGAAGTTCTTCAGGAACTTCTGGCAGAGCAGAATCCAGAGTTTTTTCTCCCCTCCTCTGGAGAAGAAGTGAATCTAGTTCCGTTAACGGAGGAATAGAGGGGGGGCGTCATCGAACTTGGGGGAAAACGCGATTTCCGACGCATTCTTGCTTTCTGCGCCGTTTCTCTTATGGAAAAACTGGGAAAAGAGTGAACTTTCCTCCCCGCGTCCCGAGGAAAACTTCACCAACAGAAGGGGCGATGAGATGCGAGTGAGCTATGCCTTGTAGAAATGGACAGATTGTGTTTAAGCGAAAACATGGCGTCTGTCTCCCAAAGTTTGGATTATTTTCCAGTCTGCTCTTTGCGCTCTGCTGCCTCGAGGCGCGCTCGGGCGTCACGGCAGACGGGAGAGCGTGCAGCCCGTGTCCGGGTAACTGCTCGTGCTCGGCGGTGGGACCGCAAAATTTGTGCGTGGTTAATTGTTCCAACATCGGACTGGATCAGGCCCCAGCGGCGTCCGACCTACCGACCGACACGCACGCTCTGTAAGTCCGCCGCTCGCGGAAAAGCCCCGGGCGGGTTTGTGGGTGATGATGCGGGTGTTTGTTGTGAACTGATTGAGGTGACGGGTGAAGAATGTTAGCTGATGGCTGGTGTAATACTTCAGACTGCCACTGTTTATGTGTCAATCAATCATAACTGAGGATGTCAGGGATGGGGGGAAAAGAGGAAAAGTCTGGTCTAAAACACAAGTGCCAAGATCTTAGATATGTAGGCTTTGTATGTTGTTTGTAATAGGTTTTTGAAATTAAACACAATATATTTTGTATTATACAAACATTCAGATGCATTGACTCTAAATGTCAACTGGTGTAACCATCCAGTAAAAATTTGCCTCAGTATTATGATATTTTAGTCATGTTGAAGATTATGTGACATGAAAACCATCTATTTTGTTTTGTCGCATGACAATGGCTTCCTGCATATGGGTAACGCGCTACACTGGCGACCAAAGGTTTATCAAATGTTATTATTTTAAATCATTTTACATTCTAAAAACTTTTTTTTTGTTGTAAAACAACTGCTGTGGTGCTTGTGTTTTCCCAAAATGTCAGCCTTTTCTTGAGACTTTTCTCCCTAATTTTTATATAGGCTACAGTTATACCACCTAGACATTTTTGACCTGCAAAATATACCAAAATAGTCAATTCTTCTTACTATAGCTCATTGCCCAACTGAACTCATATGGTGTTGTCTTCATCTCAGTCTGTAAAAACTTTAGCTTTCTCTAAGTGGAGAAAACACATCTCAAGCAGTGAAAGGTCAAAATAGCTGCATAAGTTTATGTCTGCACTGGATTTAACACATGCACGCAGCTTGTGTACCAGCAGATGCATGAAGAGTTTGTGCAGGTAGACTTGTGGCGTCGAGAACACTGTGTTCTTTACTCTGGTTTCTGTGGCGCTCGAGCTCCAGCATGTGTTATCCATTCACATAGGCTGCAGATGTATGTGCAGAAAGATGTGATACTTTGAACTCTTTTTGTGGGGGTGGGCATAAAGTTTAAGACCAAACTCTTTCATCTGGCAACTGTTGTAAAATTGGCAATAATAGTATTACTATAGGTCACATTTACAGGGCTCTTCATTAGGGGGCTTGTTGTTGCATGGTTTTCTCCAGTGAATAGGCTGTTTATTTCTGGAAGTCAATTTCTGTAGACACAAAGCACAAAGTCTTGGCTAAAAAAAGCTATTGGTTTTTCCTCCATTATTGTCAATGGAAAAGATACGGCTCATTGAACACACACTGAATGACAGAAGGGCCAGATATGGTGATATTCAAATGATGAGATTGAAACAAGCATTTGTGCAACTGGAGTTTTGACTTGAAATCTTACTAAGAGTTTGGGTCTCCCCGTATTGCTTTAAGATTGCAAGAAGTCATGCTAATGCAGCAGTAAATTTTATTTATGAATGTTTATGAACACAGCTGTTTTTTTTTATATGGTGTTGTCTTCATCTCAGTCTGTAAAAACCTTAGCTTTCTCTAAGTGGAGAAAACACATCTCAAGCAGAGAAAGGTCAAAATAGCTGCATAAGTTTATGTCTGCACTCCATTTAACACATGCACGCAGCTTGTGTACCAGCAGATGCATGAAGAGTTTGTGCAGGTAGACTTGTGGCGTCGAGAACACTGTGTTCTTTACTCTGGTTTCTGTGGCGCTCGAGCTCCAGCATGTGTTATCCATTCACATAGGCTGCAGATGTATGTGCAGAAAGATCTGATACTTTGAACTCTTTTTGTGGGGGTGGGCATAAAGTTTAAGACCAAACTCTTTCATCTGGCAACTGTTGTAAAATTGGCAATAATAGTATTACTATAGGTCACATTTACAGGGCTCTTCATTAGGGGGCTTGTTGTTGCATGGTTTTCTCCAGTGAATAGGCTGTTTATTTCTGGAAGTCAATTTCTGTAGACACAAAGCACAAAGTCTTGGCTAAAAAAAGCTATTGGTTTTTCCTCCATTATTGTCAATGGAAAAGATACGGCTCATTGAACACACACTGAATGACAGAAGGGCCAGATATGGTGATATTCAAATGATGAGATTGAAACAAGCATTTGTGCAACTGGAGTTTTGACTTGAAATCTTACTAAGAGTTTGGGTCTCCCCGTATTGCTTTAAGATTGCAAGAAGTCATGCTAATGCAGCAGTAAATTTTATTTATGAATGTTTATGAACACAGCTGTTTTTTTTGTTTTTTGCATTGTTGTTTTTTATACAGTTTTAAAACTTAAATCCATGCTGTTTTCTCTGCCTATAAAAGTTATTTTCTATTTGACTGTTTCCTAAATGGAAGAAAATTATGTGGAAAAAGTGTTTCTGAAGGGGTTATTTTAAGATACAGACAGAAAGGTTGATTCAAATGAAGTAAAAATGATTTTAAAATGAATCTAAATAAATCTAATAACACAAAGCAGCTGATGTTTTGCAAACATTCTGGAGCTTCTCTGTCTTTTCTGTCTAAAAAGGAATACAAAAAGAAGGATAAAGTTAGTGAGTCTTGGGTTTCTGAGCTGCCGATCAGACTGAAATCTCCAGAGACAGTCGCCGTAGGCCACAGAGACGAGCACAGACGCGGCGTCTTAAGAGCTTTAAGGCTTGTAGAGTTTTAAATCATTGACCTCACTTCCTTTCTCTCTTTGCGCCGCCACGGCCGCCCAGTAATCCTTCATATTTAAGCGTCTCTAAGACCAAGATAGATGGTAACTTTTTCTTTGTTGTGGAAATGAAAGGGTGTCTGGTTAAAAGCAATTAAATTTAAAAGCCTGTCGTAGCCTAATGGCAGCCGCACCATTAGCGCAGGATATTTAGCTGGCAGCGCGCCGCGTCTCTCAAGTTCACAGCTGCTGTGCGCAGGATCGCCGCTTTTCCCCTTCCATCCGCTCCTTCGTTCCACCCTTCCAGAAAAAACACAGATCCAACTCCCGTTCCCATTCCTAGGAGGTTTCTTCACTCTTTTCCCTTCTCAAGTTGTGTCATTCTGAACTCACTGAAATCTGGATGAGTGTGAAGTCCACACCTTTTGAAGTAGCATCTTTCATAAGAAGCTGTGTGATGGACTTTGGAAATCTATGTAAATCTGTACGTGTCTGGTGCAGTGAGCACTTCACAGTAAATGAGTTGTTTACAGTAAACTGAGAGACGGGCTGGAGCTGCTAAACTTTCTCTTTTGTTTCTGCTCATGCAGTGATTCACTGATTCGCTCATGTTTAATAGGAACCATCATTGACTCAGCAGTGATGTAATTGTGCTTAAGTAGCTTCATCTGTGGGAAGAGCTGCTGTGTGACAACAAAAACAGAGACTTATCCAAGTCTTCCTCAGCTGCAGTGATGTTTCTTGCTCTTTACTGTCTGGTCTGTGTAGCGGCCTTCATGGTTTGGTTCACTGGCTAAATTTGCTGGTCTGCAGAGATCTTTCTTTTTAAGTTTTTCATTCATTCATTCACTTAGAACATATATATATATATATATATATAAAGCACAATTAAAGTCATTTTAATTTAGTGTTTTGTTGATCAAAGTTGTATTTTACCCCCAAAATATTAATTATTTTAATAATCAATTAGAGAAATATAATATAATATTACATTGTAATATATATGTCTTTATATTAATTAAAAAATAAATATAAAATAAAAAGGAGTGGCTTTTTTTAGTAGTTTGCAGTGGTCTTTGATCTGTGTTGGTTTATATAGTTTTTTTTACTAGACTGTTCTGGTCTACAGAGGTCTTCATTGGTTTGTAGTGATCTATAAACCACACTGATGTGTGCTTTAACTGGTCTGTGCTGGTCTACAGAGGTCTGTATTGGTCTGTAGTGGTCTTTACTGTTTTGTGCGAATCTTTTAATTTGCTAGTCTCCTTTTTATCCACGTTTGCTCATCTGCCTGAACCTGAAAATGGAGATATTACTGCAGCAAAGGAGACAGTAGACTGAGAAGAAGGATTCCTGCTGTCTGTGTCTTCTCTCAGAATGGACTAATCGCGCCGAGCAGTCGTGAGCTTGTGTCTGTGTACGTGTGTTTCACAGGCTGACCGTTTGCGCTGCGAGGTTTATTTTGTTGCCATGACAGTCTCACATCATGACATCACCGTACACGGAAGCACAGACAGACACCCACAGTAATACAGACGGACCAAAGAGCAGTATTCAACACCAACAGCACGTCTCTGCCATTTCACACTGGTTTAAATCTTAATTAGATGAAAAGAAGTGCTCAGAAAGTTAAAGATCAGCATTCAGCCAGCAGTTTGATACTTAGGGGTTTTGAGAGTCAATTTGACTTCAAAAACTCCTCTCAGAATCATTAACTAAACCTTTTATCACAACTTTTCATATTACAATCAGGTGGCATGTTTTTATTTGTTTGTAACATACATATATACTGTGTGTGTGTATGTATATATATATATATATATATTTATATATATATATATATAATGAATGTATTTTTATTTCAGTTTTAGTAATTTTAATGCTTCAACTTCAACTTATTTTAGTTCAGTTAGTTGCCAAACAGCTTTTCTGATTTTTAAGTTTATGATATTTTAAATCTAATATTTGTAATTAATTTTATTTCGGCTTTATTTCAATTACCGAAAATTATTTGTAATAGTTGTAGATTTAGTTAACGATAACAACACTGTGAAAGAGCAATGACGGTAGACTCGATTGAACTCTTGAAAACGGTTTAAATCGTATTATCTAAAAATATTTTTATAGTGATAATATTAAAGTTTTGAGAGTATGAGCAATATGATGATAACTAAACCTTTTGTTACATATTTTCATATTTTAATCAGGTGGCATATTTATATTAATTTTAAATAATTTTTTATTAATGTTTTTATTTCTATTTAGCTTTAATTTATTTTTATTTAATTTTTAGTGATTTTAGTGCTTCAACGTAAACTTATTTTATTTCAGTTAGTTGTAAAGGCTTTTTAAACTTTTAAAATTAAGTTTAAGTGGATTTTTG